CTTCTCTAAACTTAATCCTAAATTTAACATCAGTCTCTCTTTTTCATTCTGTATAGAGAATGACAAGGAAACACTGTTGTCAAGTTTAAGTTTAGATTTAGAGAATCGTGCCAGAATCGACACCATTTTCTTATTGACGATACGGAGTTTATGGCGGGATTTCTGCGAGTGCGGTTGGCGTCTTATTTTAATTATTCTAAAATTCGTTCATAGTGGCTATTGTGAAATAAAATTGGTGTGATTTGGTGTTACAACCGTCTGCGCAACTGAAGAATTAGTGGAATCTTTAATATATACGCTATTCCGGTCAAGTGGACGCGAGAATTTTATTGTAGTGTTGACTACCTCACAGAAGCTTAGAGAAAAAGCCAACTCCATAAATTTCGTGCCAAACACTCCAAGAAACATTAGAATGCGTCACACCGACATTCTAATGTAAAAAAAGAAGATTAATATAACTAAAGACTAGGCTGTATGGGCATTGTTCCCTTTGCCTTCCCTAAAAAGGGAGAATCTTAAATAATATTGACGTTTCATTATACATAACGTTGAAATTATACACGCATACAATTTAGGTAAAGTTGAGATTTCTTATACTCAAAAAATGTATACTCATATTTAATATGAATGGAATTCATAAAATATCATTTTGTTGCTTGTAAAATTCTGCTCTAATTTATTATTATTTTATATAGACTATGATGTTAACTTAATCGAGAAAAACGGAACGCATTCGGTAGTGACAGAATATCTACGATAGATATAATATCATTGGAATATCGAAAATCCACGAGAATAGCATTTTTTACCATCAGTAGATATTTTCAATAGATATCCCTCCTTTCGATATTATCTCGAAGACGATATAATATCTACGCCGCGAGAATTGGGCCCCTGGATTGAGACATAGGTTTATTTTTATCCCGCAAAAATAACACTATTTCTTGTGGGATTCTCAAAAAACTAAAATTGACGCGGACGAAATCGCGGGCGGCCACTAGTATTACATAATTGATGCTAGCGGTCATCAAACCCGTGAATCACCGTTTAATTACCTAGACCTTGAGCAGCATGTTTTTTACAGAAGAAATTTACATACCTAACCGCAACAATAGCAAAATCTTAACTGTCTGTCTGTCACTAGTAGGTTTTTTTTTTTTTTTTTTTTATAGTTAGGTCCGACAAATGACTCCACCCCACCTGATGTTAAGTGAAGGTGAAGTCCAGGTAACCGCAACTCAGTGATTTCAGGTCCGATTTAAAAAATTCGGGAGGCGTTTCAGAAAAAAAAACAGTAGAATTATGGAAAGAGCTGCAAGAAAAAACAGTAGATGCAATGGCGTATTTTTTTCCCAATTTGCATCTCTCGCGCAAACTATTCAGTTTAGAAAAAAAATATATTAGAAATCTCAATATCATTTTCGAAGACCTATCCTTAAATACCCCACACGTATGCGTTGGATGAAAAAAATGATTTTGAGTTCCTGTTCTAAGTATGGGGGACCCCCAAAATTTCTCGTTTTTTTTCTATTTTTGTTTGAAAATCTTAATGCGGTTCACAGAATACATCCACTTACCAAGTTTCAACAGTGTACTTCTTATAGTTTCGGAAAAAAGTGGCTGTGACATACGTACGTACAGACGGACGGACATGACGAATCTATATAAGGGTTCCGTTTTCTGCCATTTGGCTACGGAATCCTAAAAATAAAAATAAAAAATCACTATGAAAAAACATGTTTTTTTTTTTTTTTTTTTTTTTATATATGTTATAGGGGGCATACGAGCAGACGGCTCTCCTGATGGTAAGTGATCACCGTCGCCCATAGACACTTGCAACACCAGGAATATCACAAATGCGATGCCGGCCTTTAAGGAAGGGTTTTTGGGTCGTATCGGTCCGGAGACACTGCTGGCGACAACATATTCCACAGTTTTGTCGTACGTGGTTGTTTATGTTTCAAACAATGCCAGAAACTGTGTGTCATTTCGATCTCTCACTGTTTGGATCGCGGTGCGTTGGAAAAAGACGAGGGAGCCCATTTGCGTCAGACTGGACAATTACTCAGGGACTAATTAGATCATGCGGTTATGATTTTGATAATTTTGCATTAAAAACAAAGTGTTGTTGTCTTCTGCGTATTAACAATATAAATGCGAAAGTGTGTCTGTCTGTTACATATACAGGGCGTCCCGCGGATTTGTCACACGGGGGAAAGTATATTATTAAATATTAAAGATAGGATATTTTACTGAAAGAAGATAATATTTTATTTTTAATAATAAAGAGAACTGCATTCACCGACTTTTTTAAAAATCGCCTGCTACAACTGGCAATCAAACTCGTGATATTTGAAAAAAAACATGAGGGTTTTTGGCGGGATTTCATCGAGTGTGGTTGGCGTCTTATTTTAATTATTCTTAAATTCGTTCATAGTGGATATTGTGAAATAAAATTGGTGTGGTTTTGTGTTACAACTGTCTGCGTAACTGAAGAATTAGTGGAATCGTTAAAATATACGCTATTCCGGTCAAGTGGACGTGAGAATTTTATTGTAGTGTTGACTACCTCACAGAAGCTTATCGAAAAAGCCAACTCGATACATTTCGTGCCAAACACTCCAAGAAACATTAGAATGCGTCACACCGACATTCTAATGTAAAAACAAAAAGAAGATTAATTTAATTAAAGACCAGGCTGTATGGGGCTGTTCAAGTATTACGTAAGCACTATAAGGCAGGGGGGTCTTTGCTTTGCTTATTTTTGATGATATGGGGGGGTGGGGGGTAGAGATGGTGATTACGTCAGCATCATCGATTAAGTCTTTTTAAGTACTGCTGCTCATGAAGCTCATGAATCAATAAAAAAAACAGAATACATTAAAGGAAAAATGCATATAGTACCTATGTTTACGTAAGGATGGGGGGGGGGGGGGGGGGTAAGAGCTTTGCTTACTTTTGCTGACGAGGGGGAGGAGGGGGTAAATAATTGTAATAAATCTGCTTAAGTAATACTTGAACGGCCCCTATGGGCATTGTTCCCTTTGCCTTCCCTAAAACGGGAGAACTTCAACAAAAAAAATAAAAATAAAACATGATGTATTTTATTATAACCATCGAAAGGGTCATTATAAGGATTTTTTTTGAATTTGAAGAACACAGGATGTATTTTATGATAACCATCGAAAGGGTGATTTATAAGGATTATTTTTTGGAAGATCTTGAAATTAAAATTTGGTTAAGGAAATCAGCGTTCATCATCTTGTCGTGAATACTTTAGATATATGCTCCAACATGTTACTTACAATGAAAATATTACAAAATTAATGTGACAAAATCTCGTATATAATTGTACGAAACTGAGGAGCTCGATGGCGCAGGTGGTTAGCGTGTTCGGCTGCGATCGTTGTAGTTAAGCAACTTTCGCAGTGGTTGGTCATTGGATTTGTGACCAAAAAATTTTATCTCGAGTTCCTCCGTGCTTCGGAAGGCACGTTAAGCCGTTGGTCCCGGTTGCACCTGCAGTCGTTAGCACCCGCCAATCCGCACTGGGCCCGCGTGGTGGGTCATGGCCCAATCTCCCTATTCCATCCATAGGGAAGGCCTGTGCCCCAGCAGTGGGGACATTAAGTGGCTGATGATAATGATGATGAATTGACCAGAAATCTCGTACGGTTGGCAACCCTGCTACGTGTTCGCTTGACAGCTCCCACCCTCCCGTTTTTGTTTTCTTTTTTTTGCGTCAGGAAAATGCATGACGCATACCCTGCCACCTGGGAGTGGCAACGGGGTTACTCTCCTCCCGAGCCGTCCTGCCCGTCCGTTCAGCCAGTCCTGAAACAGGCTCAGCGACCACCCAGGAGGGGAGGCCCTACCCACTAAAAACCTGACAATGTCCCTCACCTCACTCGGTCCACGGACCCAACCACCGTGGTTAACCTCACCGTACCGCATTCCTAAACAGACTTCGGAGCGCGTCCGAAATGAAAGCGGTACCTAAAACCTTAATAAACCGGTTTAATCCAGAGCGACACGTGCACGCGTCGGCATCGCCTGAAGTTTGTTTTGTTTGAACTAATCAAGTCACAACTTGTTAATGCAGAGAGATTGGTGCATTTATTGACACGTTTGCTAGCGTCAGTGAGTCAAGTTATTCATTTATTATCGATGCCGTCAGAAAGAGCGAAATGAAACCATTTAAAAACCGCTAAATTGATTCAAAACTATTTAATTCCGCTCTTTAGAAAAATCAGTTTTTTAAGGTTAAGGTAGAGCCAAACCTAAATAAAACGCTCCTAATATACTTGAAAATGATTTAGGTTTGAAAATTAACCGGTAAACAAGCCCTGATTGGTACGATAAAGAAATGGTTTGATAAGTGAGTGATTTCTTCTTATTAGTGTATTTTGTCCCTAAATCCAAAGACAGTGCTCTCTTCTAACTAGTGTGTTTTGTTCCAGTTTGTTCCTAGATCCATAACAGAATGTTCATTTCTTAATAGTGTGTTCTGTCCCTATCATAGTTCCATAAGAGTAATATAATAATAATCATGAATAACTCTTTATTTCTTGTTAATATTTTTATAGTGATCGGGGTCCTCTGTTAAGCTCTAAGGTCTGTGTCAGGGGACACCGCTCTTCCATAAGCAGTTAATTTTATTTTCTAAGCACACAATATTTAAGAATGTTCATGTAGTCGGTGTATGTGTGCGTGCGTGCGTGCGTGCGTGCGTGTGTATGTGTCTGCGCGTGCGAGTGTTTGCGTGTGTGCGTGCGTGTGTATATTTGTGGGCGTGCATGTGTATGTGTATGAGTGTGTATGTGTGTTATGATGTATGCCTCATTTTTAACTCTTTTTCACTTTTAAGTAATTTACCTTTCTCAAGCAACATTTCGATTTGAGAGAGTGATCAAGAGTGTGATCTCTTTTTACTAGTGTGTTCTGTCCCATCATAGTTTCTTAAGAGTGTAATCCCTTCTTACGAGTATGTTTTGTTCCAGGGTCCTTCAGAACATCCTGATCAGCCTGTCGCAGGGCCCGGAGAAGGAGGACCTACAGTACGCCCTGTTCTGCATGGTCTGCGAGCGGGTGTTGGCGCAGAAACCTCAATGGCTGGTAGATGACTTCGGTAAGATAGATAGATATTACAAGAGTCGCCAACTGAACAGGGCTTTTACTGTTACGTGTCGGGTTGGGGTTCGAAATTATATGCGAATTCACGCTTGACAGTTCTTAATTCAGCATACAGTTCACAGTTCTTTCTTAAACACACAATACTAAACTCACTGTACACTATACCTACAAGTCTTTAAACAATCGCACTTGAACTCTTTGATCGCCTTTGTATTCGTTCCGAAATCGCTGTTGGAACTCCACTAACTATTGCGCTGCACCGATGGAGCTTTATATACGCCAATCGTAGCATTCTAGAAAAGTCCAGTTGAATTGAGAGTTAACTAGCACCCGCGAGTGCGTAGTACCAACTTATACGTAGGCAGCGCGCATGAGTTGTAAACAAATGCAGATGTCGTTGCACTTTGAATGAATGAATGCTCTTTATTGCACTATTACAAAAAAAACAATAAACATAAAACAGGAACGCAAACACAAAAGGCGGCCTTATTGCAAAGGTAGCAATCTCTACCAGGCAACCTTTGGCTAAATGAAACGATACCATAAGAATAGTAGAAACAGCGGGCTGTGCATTGTAAAAATAAATAAATAAACGTAAATATAGGAAAATAAAATATAGAAAGTATATGAAAGCTATAAAATACAATACAAAGTAATGAACATATATAAAAATCAGTCAGAGTCCAGCTTGAGGAAATAATCCTTTATTTTAATAGCAAAGGAGTCCCTCGTCCGTGCACGTTTAATATCTAAAGGTAAAGAGTTCCACAATTTAACAGCTCTTACATAGAATGACTTGGCTACGAAATCAGTGGAGTGGGTGGGATAACTAAGGATAGGTTATGAGAAGACCGAAGGTCACGAACAGGATTGAATGAGTGAAAAGTGAAACGCTCCTTAAGATAGAGGTGAGACGCACTTTCAGCCTTACATCGCACTGCATAAGACTCATTAGAATGAACCGCTCCACTCTACCTCAATCGCGATTATTTACGTCGCTACCCACAGTTTTCTGGTAAAATCTGTCTCCAGTATTTTCGCGGTTTTGGTTCGAGAGCGTTTGTGACACTATGGATACGCAGTACAGGAACAGAAACATTAGCTTTCGATGTCCTCACTGCGGGGGTACAGTCTTATCTATTTAACGTAGTTTACGGTAGTTAGGATCAAATAAATAAACTCAAAATTACAAAAAAGAACTTTAAATAAAGTACTTTATTAACTAAATTAACTAATAAATTCATACATAGACAATAAAGATTTCAAAATCTTCCAATGAAATATCCGAACGCTCAATAAAAGTCTTTCGAATGTAGCTCGACAAAATAAATAAAAAAATCATTATTCTGACGATGCACTCAGACCTGAAAAGGCTGCGAAACGCCAATAAATAAATAAAGTTCGTGCATGAACCCGTTAAAACTAGTTTTATTTAATGTGTGATGTGCGTGAAAACCTAAGAAACAAATAAATTATCTATTTGACTTCACATCGCGTCACGGACGGAGTTGGCATATATAACAGAGCGCTTTAACACAGTACATACATATAAGTGTCGCCGCACACGGGCCACACGCCAGAGCCACAAACGCCGCCACGAGAAGCTAGAAGCGGCTACTAAAGTGGCTGAAGCGCGCGACAGCGGCCGACTAAGGTAAGGGAGAGAGGGGTGGGAAATCGCGCGAGTGACGTGTGCGGCGTTTTGTATCGGCGCATTAAGTGGCCGGCGCGGGCCACAAGAAGCGAGCAACGACGATTTGTAGCGTGTGGCGGCCACCGGCGCACCGTGTGTGGCGAGTCAATATAAAATGTATGAAAACTACAAGAAACATGCCGGTGGCGGCGTTTTGTGGTTGTGGTCGGTGGCCCGTGTGCTACGACACTAAGTCGCGGCACGAAACTTTAGCGCTGACCGTTATTGATATATGTTTTTTTTTTATATTTATTTTGTGCACAATGTCTACTGTATGCGAGAGCTGTCGCGAAAAAATACTTAAAAGGAAATCTTCGTTGTGTTCTTTGTAATAGCGCATAATATTTAGATTGTGCAAATGTGCTTGCATAACGATTTAACAACACGATGAGCAATGATCACACAAAAATGTGGAAAGGCCTGCTTGCCACTGCAAAATACCTAAAACAGGGAACATTCATACATCGGGTACGCCAAAATGAGTCGGAAAAACCGCAGTATGTAGCGAATGAATTAGATTATATTACTGTGAGGAAAACAACAACTGAGAGAAATGAAACACTTAGTTCTGAAGACTTGAGTATTTAAATCTAAAGAAAAGTTTACTAGAAAAAAATCCACGCGGACCAGGCAGCGGACGGGACTCGAACCCGCACCCTTTGCAATCCGGGCGAATGCACTGACCATTATGCTACCGTGGCCCTATTCGCCGCGTCGAAATTTTCCTAGCCTTAAGCTGCAAGGCAGCGCCATCTCTTCGCATTGTAGGTAACCCACAATGCCAAATGAATACGTTTTCAAGTATTAAACATTTGAAAGAAGAAATAGCAATTATAGTTATGTTTTTATTTAAAATTTATAAAAAAATCCACGCGGACCAGGACATTTTTTTCTAGTAAACTTTTCTTTAGATTTAAACATCTAGCAGTTAAATGCTTAAAAATTAAATAAAAACATGACTTGAGTATTCTTGGCGAAATAATTGATAGCGAAAATGTGAATACCATTATAACTCAAAACAAACAATTACAAAACATTATGACAAAACCTCTTCAATATTGCGAAATGTTTGTTGTTAGGTCACAAATTGGAAGAAAATAATAACACACATATTGTTACAGCTACAAATTATTATACAGACAGAAATAGACCAGGCAATAAATGATATACGTGACGAATTGAAACAGAAAATAAAATACTTAAAGGAACAAATTGAAAATAGAGAAATAGACATGGAGAATATAAAAGAAGAAATAGAAAAATTACAACAGGAAAATTATACTATCAGAAAGGAGATAAAGGAAGTGGAAACGAGGCATTTATTATCTCATGTGAAAATAGGTGTTCCTCAGGGTTCAATTTTAGGTCCATTTCTTTTTTTAATTTACATTAATGATTTACCTTTCTTTGTAGAAAATTTTTGTGAAATTGTTTTGTTTGCAGATGACACCTCGCTAATTTTTAACGTTGACAGGTGTAAAACAAATTATGACGATGTAAACAATGCACTTTCCAAGGTACTTCACTGGTTCTCTTCTAATAATCTAAAACTGAATGCGAGCAAAACTAAATGTGTGAAATTTACTTTGCCGAATGTAAAGCATGTTGAAATGGGGGATATAATTCTAAATGGTGAAAAACTAATGTTAGTCGATACAACCGTTTTCTTAGGCGTAACACTAGACCACAAACTTCAATGGAACCCTCACATTACAACACTAGCCGGTAAACTAAGTTCTGCTGCTTATGCAATTTATAAAATAAGACGACTTACAGATGTCGACACTGCTAGGACAATATACTTCAGCTACTTTCACAGCATTATGTCGTATGGCATTCTATTATGGGGCACGGCCGCAGACATTGAAACAGTTTTTATTCTTCAAAAACGAGCTATAAGAGCTATTTACCGCTTGGGATCTCGAACTTCTCTTAGGGATAAATTTAAAGAAATAGGTATAATGACTGTTGCCTCTCAATACATTTACAATTGTATATTGTTTGTGCGTCAGAACATAAATTTATATACGAGGCGCGATGATGTACATAATTTCAATACCAGAAATAAAGATAAACTCAAATTGCCACCATTGAGACTCCAAAAGGTTCTTGGTTCATTTGTGGGTCAAGGTATATGTTACTATAATAAAATACCAAAAGAAATAATTAATTTACCTTTTAATAAGTTTAAAGTGTGTATAAAAACATGTCTCCTTAAGAAAGGTTACTATACTGTAAAAGATTTCATAAATGATAAGTCACCTTGGGCTTAACATAATAGACTGTCGTTTTACTTTGCTAATTTGGTTGAAAATTGTTTAATCGCCACTTCTAAATTTAAAAATAGTACCTAGTTATACTTAACTTTTGTTAATTAATAATATTAATGTGATGCAAGTTGACATCAACACATGTATTCAATTTTTGATGTCATCTTTCAATTGACGACACTGTGTGAAACAAAACAGGGAGAAAAAAATAGCCCTTGCTGAGTTTCTTGCCGGTTCTTCTCAGTACAAGGTCTCCCGCCGTAGATTTACGAACCGATGGCGTAGCGTTTGACTTTCACAAGAGCTTGTAACAGCCTAGACTGAATAAATGAGTTTGAATTTGAATTTGAATTTATCGGCCAGGAAAAATTTCAACCCCGAGCCAAATCCCAAAAAAATAGAGTTCTTTTCGCATTTCCCGAATATTATAACGAAACAGAATATTATTATGAATTCTACAGCAGATTAAATGGATTATTTCAAGAATTTTTACAAGTTGATTTATTAGGCTGTATTGAAAAAAAACCTTCTTCTTCTTCTGGGAGGAGGTCTTATTTTATAGCCAATTTTTTTTTTATTTAAATCTACATTCTCTACCCAGGTCTGAACCTCCTCAAGTCTGCGGCTCTACGCTGCCCCAACAGACCAGAGCTGACTCGCTACTTGGTTCAATGCGTCCGTAACGCCATACGACACGATTCGAGTCTCATACAAGGTCGGGACAGCGTCTTCCATGAGGTAAGTGTCATCATCAATACAAATACTCTATTCAGCTCATCATCATCATCAGTCTATTAATGTCCCCACTGCTGGGGCACAGGGCTTCCGTATGTATGTATTAGGGAGATTGGGCCATGAACCACCACACCAGAGCGGATTGGCGGGTGCTAACGACTGCAGCTGCAACCGGGACCAACGGCTTAACGTGCCTTCCGAAGCACGGAGGAACTCGAGATAGAAGATTTTTGGTCACCCATCCAATGACAGACCGCTGCGAAAATTGCTTAACTTCAACGATCGTAGCCGAACGCGTTAACCACCTGCGCCATCGAGCTCCTCAATGAAATATAGTACAGTTTTATAATTTCACTAGCGGCCCGCCTTCGCTTCGCTTCGGTGTAGAGCTGAAGTGTAGACTACAGTTTTTTATCTCAGGCTTGTATTATACACAATGACATTTATCTATGATTCTTCTTTTACCTGCATGCAAAGTCTCAGCCCGATCGGTTTAAAATTGACAAACTTTCATTCCCTATTTTATCCCCTTGGGGGTAGATTTGATCAAAATCCTTTCTTAGCGGATGCCTACGTCATAACATCTACCTACCTGCCAAATTTCAGCCCGATCCGTCCAGTGGTTTGGGCTGTGCGTTGATAGATCACTATGTCAGTCAGTCACCTTTGAGTTTTATAAATATAGATTTCATAATAATAATTGTTTAATTATCTTAAAATTGTTATACCTGTACAAGGTGACTAAGTGATCAGATGCTATGTATCATGTTTAAGAACCGTATGTAACACTTTGGTCCGTATTACAGAATGACAACTAAGTGTTGATCTTTACTTGTGTACAGTTAGAAAGGGATGTCGCTATGTGCTATATATAGCGACATCCCTTTCTATGCTTAAGACTAGATCAATCATTGAGAATATTTCTTTAATACGGGCCTTAGTTTGCAAATAAATAGTTTGAGTGTGATTTGCCATTGAGCGTAGCCAATTGATTAGACGCTCCCACATCCGCCACAATAGCCTCTTTATTATAAAAACAATGAATGAATGAATATATTTATTCTTTATTGCACAATTACATACAATACAGAGAACATAAAAAACAGGAACAAAAACACAAAAGGCGGCCTTATTGCTAAGGTAGCAATCTCTACCAGGCAACCTTTGGCTTAATGAAACCATACCATTAGAATAGTAGAAACAGGGGGCTAGTGCATTGTAAAAATAAATAAATAAACATAAATATATTAATATATAATAAAACAACTGCATTTACATAACTGAGCTTACCTTTCTTATAAAATATCCTGTTATCACTGATATTTTCACAATACGCGGAAAAAATATCGTCATAACATGATAACTTTAATTTTTTAAGCATTAACAGCGATCGATGTTTAAATCTAAAGAAAATATTACTAGAAAAAAATCCACTCGGACCAGGCAGCAGACGGGACTCGAACCCGCACCCTTCACTATCCGGGCGAATGCACTGACCAATTATCCTGATCGCGGCCCTGGTGGTCGAATTCTTTTTAGTCTTTTTAAGCTGCAAGGCAAGATAATAACTAGACTTGCAACGAATATTCGGTAACTATTCGGTATTCGGCCTATTCGGCTGCTTTTATTATATTCGGCCGAATACCGAATATCTACATATTATTCGGCTGAATACCGATTACTTCAATAATATATTTTGTCATAGAGAAATAATTGGTAAAATGAAAAAAATTAAATCGATTGATTACGTATATATTCATATTTTCATATAATCATTTAAGTAGTCATTGGTACATGACACAGGTACATAATCATCTTCTGAATTGGAAAAATGGAGGATTCTATGTATTTGAATTATTGTGGTAATCAAAATTTAGAAGGGTAAGGTTCTCATTTCTTTTATAATCATTTATTAAGTAGTCATTGGTACATAAAACAGGTACATAATTTTAACATTTTCTGTATTAAACAAGTTAACAGTTTTTAATTCATTCAGTCATGTGATGAATGGTTACATAATAGCAATAATTTAAAGTTTACGCGCCGTTTTTGGCCATATCTCAAAAGTTGGTTTTGTCATTTAGCCGCATTTTAGCTTGAGGACGGCAGATTAGAACAAAACAAAGGAGCGCGAAACAATCACGTCTGTACAAGTTTTTGGCGCTAAAATCCAGCCGAATATTTTTGCCTAATATTCGGCTATTCAGGGGCCTCGCTGAATATTCGGTATTCGGTATACTGCCGAATATACTATTCGTTGCAAGTCTAATAATAACTGTTGTTTTTCTATCTCAGCGCATTAACACAGTTAGTAAAACATCTTGGAACAAGTTTAGAGTTATAAAACCAGGTTTGAAACACTTACAAGCAGGAAATTTTATTCTTAAAATAATGCATTTACGCAGACACATAGCTATCTTCAGACCGGTCAATGTCAGTCTGTCGTACTGCACAGAATACTTAAAGCTGAATAAATAAATAATTCTCTCAAGTAATATAGAAACACCATCCATCCATCCAATGACACTACTTGACGGCATTGGTCGGATATGAGCAATTTAATAATGAGAGGATAATATAGGATTAATAATGAGAGGAGCTGGAGCGCAAGTGGTTAGCGCGTTCGGCTGCGATCGTTGAAGTTAAGCAACTTTCGCAGTGGTCGCTCATTGGATGGGTGACCAAAAATCTTGTATCTCGAGTTCCTCCGTGCTTCGGAAGGCACGTTAAGCCGTTGATCCCGGCTGCATCTGCAGTCGATAGCATCCGCCAATCCGCACTGGGCCCACGTGGTGAGTCATGGCCCAATCTCCCTATTTCATCCATAGGGAAGGCGTATACCCCAGCAGTGGAGACATTAATAGGCTGATGATGATGATGATAAACTTTTGCGTGCCCAATATCTTCTCCATTATTTCATTGAAATCGGTTCAGTATTTCAAAAGCTTGAAGAGGTTACAGACAGACGCACTTTCGCATTTTTATAATGTTAAGTATGGATGAAGGATGAAGTCCGTCATTTGCGTTGAAAGATTAAATAAATAAATTTGACATTGTGGGATACCTACAATGCGGAGAGATGGCGCTGCCTTGCAGCTTAAGGCAAGGAAAATTTCGACGCGGCCATCAGGGCCGTGATAGCATAATTGGAATGCACTGAGCATTCGCCCGGATTGCGAAGGGTGCGGGTTCGAGTCGCGTCCGCTGCCTTTGTGTCCATTAAAAGGCTGATGAAGACTATGACGACCTCCGTGGTCGAGTGGTTTGTACGCCGGGTTTCATGGTGTCACCGACTCGAGAGGTCCCGGGTTCGAATCCCGGTGGGGGCAGATGTTTGTGTGATGAATACGAGCATTTGTACTCCAGTCATGGTTGTTTAATATTTATGTCTATACAAATATACTTATATATGTAGGGTATATGTATTCTATCCGTTACCCTAGTATCCCATAACACAAGCCTTACAGTGCTTACTTTGGGGCTAGGCTAATTGGTGTGAGTGTTGGAAATATTTATTTATTATTATTATTATTATTTATCGAAAAAAGGAAGACATAATAGCATAGAATGAGTAAAATTATATTTTATGTATGAAAATCAATTATTTAGTGATAAAAATGAAGGAGGACTCACTCGGGAACGCTTATATGGAAAAAAACACATTTCCCGCCTTTTTTTTCTAAATGGCTTCGCACGGCTTGTGCATTTAGCCAATGTCAAGTGTTGAAATGTTTACAAATTCTATAGCACTCGTGGTCAAAGTAATATATCAAGTCAAAGTAAGTGGTAGTCAAGTCAAACCCCCTTTCCCTATGTTTCAGTAAATGTGTGGGGATTTACTGGAAACCTCCCCGTGGACTTCTTGAGGGAACGTCGAAAGACACTTTCCGCTATTTTGTTTCACTTGCCAACACTTAGTGGTTAATAATCCACCATTATTAGACACTAACATCCACCACAGCACAATTTTTAACAAGAAAAACGAAACTGCTAAAGTGACGCTTCCCGATCCCGCCAAAAAGTCGGCTCCCCTCTTAATGACGCAGTAGAAAGAGTAACTTACTTGTTACTTGTTGTGGGCCCCCGTTTCCGCACGTAGACTCCGTACTTGGTCCATTGTGCGTGCAGGGTATGTTGGGCTAGCTAGCTCAGCCAGCCCAGCTCCTTCCAGAAGCGCAGTAGCCTCCTGGGGCTCTCACAGGCTTCTAGGAGCGTCCTCGGCTTCCTGAGGATTAATGCCCGGTGTTCTGCAACGCTCGTGCATTCCAGGATCACATGAGCGGCCGTTTCATCTGCTTCCAGACATCCTCTGCATCGAGAGCTATCTGTAACGCGTATGGTTAGTAAATATAAAAGTAGAAAGAGTAAACACTCCATAGTTTTTTTTTATTTAAAGCATTGGCTTCCAGGGCCATTCGCTTAAACATAAACTTTACTTGCTTAGTGAAAATAAGATACATCATCATCATCATCATCATCATCGACCCATGCTCGTCCACTGCTGGTTTCTGCCACTCTCATCCAGCCCACTCCAGCCAGCCTACGAATGTCATCATCCCATCTTGTCTCAGGGCGTCCCACACTACGTTTACCGAGTCGCGGTCGCATAAAAATAAGAATAATCATATTAATAATAAATCATAGAGAAAATAAGATACGAACAACGGAAATTAACAAAAATAAAAAAATGAATCGCTGAATGTGTTGCTAAGCGCTAATCTCGAGACAAGCTGAACCGATTTCGATAATTCTTTTTTTAGTACGATTCCATGGAGTACGAGGATAGTTCTTACGTAGAGAAAAGTAAAAAAGAATGCCTGAAATAGTCCAAAAACAACAATTTTCATACTCCCATACAAACGATTCGTAATAATACTTAAAAGTCAATTTGAACTTTAATACCATACCATAAATTTCAAATGTTAGCGGAGAGGTTCCGGGAAGGCAAAACAATCGAGTGACGTTATGTCAATAGAAGCTTGGAAAAGGCAAATATACCATTT